CCTCCCCACCATCCCTTGGTATCCCCAGCCCCCACAATCCAGGTGCCCCTCGTGCCCCTCCCCTCCATCCCCCCATCACCTCAGACCCCCATGCCCATCTTTTCCCCCAGCCTGTGCCCAGTTCCACGCTCACTGCTCTCCAGTGAAGCCAGGGCTGCACTGGCACTGTCCCCCGTGGGGGTCACAGTGCCCCCCGTTGTGGCAGCGACACTCGCCCTGGCAGCCGGGCCCAAAGCGCCCGGGGGGGCACGGCACGGAGCAGATCTCCCCCTGCAAAGGAGCACCAGGGTCAGCAGGGGAAACTGAGGCAGAGAGCACGTTCAGAGGGGGGCACAGCCCACCTACCATCCATCCGTGAGGGCAGACGCAGGTGCTGCTGCTGGAGGGGTGGCAGATGCCCCCGTTCTGGCAGGGACAGGGGGTGGCACAGGACATCCCCTCAGGGCAGGGCACCTCGCAGCTGTGGGGGGTGAGGGGTGAGCAGGACCCTGCCTGGGGCTGGCAGAGGAGGGGAGGGCACGGAGGAAGGGGTCCCAACTCACAGGGGGCCGCTCAGCCCCGGTGGGCAGAGGCAGGCGCCTGTGGAGGCGTTGCAGGGGGCCTGGTGGTGGCAGGGGCAGGGCAGGTGACAGCTCTGCCCGTAGGTGCCAGGTGGGCACGGCTGGCTGCACAGGGGGTCGGTGAAGCCGGGGGGACAGGAACAGACCCCGCTCAGGGGGTCACAGGGGGCCCCATGGTGGCAGGGGCAGCGCTGTCCACAGTCCAGCCCCCAGGAATGCTCATCACACTCTGCATGGGGGAGAGCAGTGGTACTTCCTGTTCCATCCCATCCCACCCCCATCCCACCCCATCCCCTATTCCATGTCATTGCCAACCCTCCACCCATGCCTGTTCAGTCCCCATCTTGTCCCCATGCCATGCCATGCCATGCCATGCCATCCTCCCCAGCCCATCCTCATCCTATGTCCATTCCCATCAAGTCCTTTTCCTATCTTCATCCACTTTCCAATCCCATCCTCATCCCATCACTACCCCTACCCCATTCCCATCCATCCTATCCCTGCTCCCATCCCCTCTTCCTCCCCATCCCAACCTCCATCCCCATCCCAACCCATCCCATCCCACCCAGCCCATCCCACTGTCCATCCCCATTCCAACCCAACCCAACCTCCATTCCTCCCCATCCCATTCTCCATCCCCATTCCAACCATCCCACTCCCCATTCTCATCCCAACCCATCCCAATCTCCACCCCCATCCCATCCCATCCCCGCCCAGCCCAGCCCATCCCAATCTCCACCCCTATCCCATCCCATCCCCGCCCAGCCCAGCCCATCCCAATCTCCACCCCTATCCCATCCCATCCCAGCCCAGCCCAGCCCATCCCAATCTCCATCCCCATCCCAACCCATTCCATTCTCTTCCCACCCCACAACATTCCCATCCCACCCCCACCTCCATTAACCCTCCAGGGAATCCTGCTGCCCCATCTGCCACCCCTGGCAGGGGGTGCCCCCCCCCAGCTGTGCCCAGCTGTGCCCAGCCCTCACCGCTGGAGCAGCTGGGGCCGCGCCAGCCCGGCTCGCACTGGCACAGCTCGGGAGCCACGCAGCGGCCGTGGACGCACTCCTGGCTGCAGTGAGCTGCGGGGACACGGCCGAGCACGGGGCGTCCTCAGGGAGCTCTGGGGACACCCTGCAGCGGGCCACAGCCCCAGGGCCCCCCCGAGCCCGGCCCCACTCACGGACACAGGAGTCCCGGCTCTCGTAGTAGCCCTGGCAGCACTGGTAGCGCCGCCGGTAGTCGGTGCGGACGGCCTGGCGGTACTCGGTGCGGTACACCACCCTGCGCCGCCAGGGGACACGGTGACCGTCCCGTCCCCGCTGCCCTTGGGGACACGCTGTGCTGGGACAGCCCTGCCAGCCCCCCGGCCTTGGGCACAGCCCCCCTCCAGTCCCGCATGTCCTTGGAGACATTCTGAACCGGGACAGCCCTCCCAGCCCCCCTGTCCCTTCAGCCTTGGGGACACCCTGTGCTGGGACAGCCCTCCCAGCCCCCCTGGCCTTGGGCACAGCTCTCCTCCAGTCCTCCCAGGGTCTTGGGGACACCCTGCCCAGGGACAGCTCTCCCTGCCCCCCTGTCCCCCCAGCCTTGGGAACACCCTGCCCTGGGACAGCTCTCCCAGAGCCCCAGCCTTGGGGACACCCTGCACTGGGACTGTCCCCAGCCCCCCTGCAGTCCTCCCAGGGCTTGGGGACACGCTGTGTTGGGATAATCCCCCTTCAGCTCCCCATGGCCCCTTGGCACCGCCCTCCTCCAGCCCCCGGCCTTGGGGACAGACCCTCTGCAGCCCCTCCATGAACCTGGGGACACTGGCACTGGGACAGCCCCCCTGAGCTTGGGGCAACCCCCCTCCAGCCCCTCCCCAGCCCCCTCACTGTCCTTGTCCCAGCCTGGGGTGGGACATTCCCCCTCCAGCCCCTCGCAGCCTTGGGGACACCCTGGGGTGGGACTGCCCCTCCATGAGCCTGGGGACACCCTGCAGTGGGACAATCTCCCTCCAGCCCCCCATGGCCCTGGGGACACCCTGTGGTCCCCGAGGGGCTCTGGGGAGCTGGGGGTGATCCCACCTCTGCTGTGGGCAGGGCAGGGGGAGGCCCAGACCCCCGGGGCAGGGCTCGCTGGAGGACACCACGTGCGGTTTGGTGTAGGACTCCTTCACTGGCGCCGTGAAGCTGCGGGTGGGGGGAATTCGGGGTGACTGCAGGTCCTGGGAGACCCCACCGCTGTCGCTGTCCCCCTCCCCTGCCCCCTCACTCCTACCTCTCCCAGTAGCTGCAGACGTTGGGGTCTCCGGGCCGGAGGGCAGCCAGGAGCCCGGCGTGCACCGCCAGCACCGCGGCCCGCAGCAGCATCCTGCACGGAGAGACCACGGCTTCACCCCGTGCCTCCGCACATTCCCGCTCCCCACCCACCGCCCCCGGCCCCAGCTCCACATCCGACCTCCCTGCAGGGCTGGCTTTGCATTCCTCCAGCCCGAAAAACAGCCCCGGCCCCGCTGCTCCCTGAGCGCTGGCCTGTGCCAAGGGGAAACTGAGGCATGGCCACTCAGCAGCCTGGGTGGCCCCACCAGCTTCATCCCAGCATCCTGAGACACCGCGGGACACATCTGGAGCATCACCCCGAGCTGTCCTGGAGACCCCACGCTAAAGGGGGGGATGCTGCCGGATCTGGCAGCCCGGGGTGCCAGGGTGGGGCTGGGCACGGCACCTCCAGCCCCTGGCACGGCGCCGCGTGGCCCCACTTCAACTCGCTCTGTGTTTATTCCCAGTTGAGTTTCCTGGATCCAGCAGCTTCTTGCTCAACCCAGAGAGGGTCCGGCTCTGCCGGGGTGGCTCTAGGAGCGTTTCCAGCCGGGGGCCGGGCTGGGAGGGCCGGTGAGCCCCGAGCCCGCCGTGCCGGGCGTGCTGTTTACCGGGATGAGCGTTTCGGGGCAGGACTGCCGTGTGCCAAGGAGGAAACAGAGGTTTCCTGATCAGCACAGCTGGATTTACCGGGGCTTCCTTGCTGCTCCGGCCATAGGACACCCCAAAGGTGCTCCCTGGGTTCATCCTCCCCCTCAGCAGAGCCCGCGCTGTGTTTTGGGGCCAGAGCATCCGGTTTGGGGTGGAAAAAGTGTCAGTGGGAAAGTTTCCCCCCCATTTCCCTTCAACTCCCGGCAGTGAGGAATTAATTGCTCATCCGCTGCCAAAATTCCCTCCCATGGACCCTGCCGAGGGGGGAGGGCCAGGGGAGCCCCGAGTTCATCCCCAGCCTCATTCCCCTCTTCCAGCAACCTGGGGGGACCAGGGGGGTCCCAGCATTCCTGGGAAAAACAGGAACCACGGGGAGATGCTGGCAGGAAAAGCAAGGAGTCATCAGTACTTGCCGGCACGTCCCATCTGCTCCTCACCGAGGGGCTCAGCCCCCCCAAAACGGCAAGAGACACCCCCAGACCCGGTGCTGCTCTCCTCACTGGTGTCCGTAAGAGCCCCGCGGGTGGGATGAGGAGCATCCCACGCGTGATGGGGCTGAAAGGAGCGTGTGGGGTGAGGGCAGGGGAGCTGCCCTGCCCTGTCCCTGCGGGGGACAAGGTGGTGGCCACCCCACAGCCGCTATCTCTGCCCCGGCGCTTCCTCCGCCACAGCCCGGGGTCTGACGCGTTTCCTCGGCGGACCCGCAGGGATGGGGCTGGCTGAGGGCGAGGGGGGCACGGCTGCAAGTCAGGGGCAGGGGCAGAGTCAGGGTCAGCTTTGGGGTCACCTCGGTTGTCGCAGCACTGTCCCGTGCCCCACCCGCTGGCCACCAGCGTCCCCTCACCTTGGAACCTGCACCATCCCGTGCCCCTCCCCGGGGCGCTGGGGACACAGTGACCGTCCTGTCCCCCTCCCACAGCGCCCAGCAGGGGACGGTGCCACCCGCCCAAGCCAGCCCCAGGGTGCCCCGGGAGGGGACAGGGCACTCACCTGGCCGGGGGCCGCGGGGACAGGCAGGGTCAGGGCGCAGCGGCCCCGCCGCGGGGCTGGCCTGGCCGGCCGGGATGGCGCAGCGCGGCCGTCGGAAGCGGAGGGAGGGCTGGAGCTGCTCTCAGGAAGTTTGGACGTAGAGTCAACTACGGAAAAGGGAAAAAAATAAAAAAAATCCCCTTAATTTTTTTTTTTTTTTCCCTCTACTGTCCAGAAACCAGAGGGTTTTGGCAGAGCAGCAGCACCGGCACTGCTCTCACAGAGCACTGGATGGGGAGAGGTCTGTGGGGACATCCTGGGGCAGCCCCTCAGCAGGTCCTGGTGCTGCAGGATGTCCCCTTCCCCAGGGCTCCGTGGCACCCATGGGTGCAGGGCCTGACCCTGTGCAGGGCTGGGGCAAGCGAAGGGACCCCCTGAGCAAGGGGCAGCTGCTCCGTGGTGACAGCATGTGGGGACCAGGGTGTCCTTTGGCTTCAGGGCAGCAGCTGCTGGCAGCAGAGCAGAGCTCGGGGTTGGTGCCCAACACCCCTGCACAGCATCCCTGCATGTCTGGGACACATCACCCCGGAATCCCAACACCCTGGGCACATCATCCCTGCATCCCGACACCCCAGGCACATCCTCCCTGCATCCCAGCACATCATCCCTGTATCCCAACATCCCAGGACACCATCCCAACATCCCTGGCACCTCATCCCTGCATCCCAGAACATACTCCCTTAGTCCCAACATCCTGGGCACATCCTCCCTGCATCCCAGGGACACCTCATCCCTGCACCCCAAATCTCAGGTGCACATCCCCCGCCCCATTCCGGGCACAGTGTCCCTACACCCCGGGCACACAGCATCTCCACATTTTAGGATCCTGGGCACATCCCAGGACTGCAGGCACGAGTCACCCCCTCACCCCAGACACCCCAGGATCTCTGGCCGTGTGTTCCCCTGCATCCCAGGATCACAGATCACCCCAAATCCTGGGATCCCTGCCTTGCATCACTCCGGATTCCCAGCCATCCTCCACCTCTGCATCCCAAACATCACAATTAAATCCCGGACTCCTGACCATCTCCCCTCATCCCCACGTGTTCCACCGACCCCGGGACTCCCGGCCAGGCAGATCAGCAGCACGGGCCCCCTTGCCCAGCTGCCCCCCACCCCCGGCACACATTAGCGGCTCCCGAGGCGCCGTTAATTGCTCTGCTCGTTACAGGAACAGCTCTAATCACTCACAACGATTTTCACATCCCAGGGAGACTCGGCTGCCCGCCCCCCTCGCCGTTCCTCTCCCCGGGTCTCCATTAGGATCAAGCCCACCCGCAGCTGGGGCCACCCCAAAACGGCGCTTCCCGGAGCAGGGGTGGGCGTGGGGGCTGCGGCGCCCTGGAATGGGAGAGGATATTGGAGATGGGACAAGTTGGGGACATCCGGAGCTGAGGATCTGCTGGGGAAGTAACCCCTCCCTCCGATGCTTTTTAAGGTGTCCCCAGGGCGAGGGGGGGAAATATTGCTCGGGGACATTCCAGCGGCACTTCAGTGCTGAGATGCCTTTGCAGCCCCCCCGGGACCCTCGGAGCCGGAGAGGACGGAGACCCCCGAGTGCACTTTGGTGTGGCTGGGGCTGTGGATGCGCAGAGCTCATCTCAGTGCCGGGATCCAGCTGTACCCTCAGCCCCCCTAAACACCACCCCAGCAGGAGGGGGACCCCAAACACATCACTGATCCTCTTAGAGCGGACCTGGGGTCCCCTTAGGAGCTTTTGGGATGGAGTGGGACCCTCTAAAGGGCAGACCCAACCCTGCCGTGGTCAGAGCTGGTGGCACCAAGCCGCGGGAGGGATGGGACCCGCGGGGCAGGGTGTGAGTGGCGACCACCAGCAGCTGCACGAAGCAGAATCGGGCCCGGGAAGCCCCAGCCGCGATGAAACCGGGTGAGCAGGGCCAGCCCCGGTGCCGCTGGGGCGGCAGCCTCGCCAGGGAGCGGAGCCGTTAATTACCTCATTGCCAGAGTCCATTACCGCTCCCCCCGGAGCAGTGAAATGGAGAAACTTCGCTAGGAGGGAGGGGCGGGGAGGGGGAATAAAATCGATCGCGGGATGAACCTTAACTCTTCCCTGACCGCTCTGCGGGGGAAACTGAGGCACAGGCACGCCCACGAGGCATTGCCACGCCATGAAGGAATCTGAGGCACAGATGCAGGGAAGCCCACCCTGTTTGGAGAGGGGGTGTCACCACGCATAGTCCTTTTGGGGCACTGGTCTGCGGCAATCTCCAGCAAGGGGCTGGAAAACCTCAAGGTTGTAATCTAGTTCCTTCCTCAAATTAGATAAGAGGGGAAAAAAGGCCATAAATCAGCGTGGGCAGCGATTAGAGACCCCAAGGAAGCAGGTGGGGGGCTCTGCCAGCCGGGTTGAGCTCCAGCAGAGCCAACCTGCCCATGCCAGGTGCCCATTTCCCGGGCAGGACCCTCAGCAAAGATCCAGGGAGAGCCAGAGAGGCCTGACCCTGCTGCAGGGCTGAGGGCTGCATCACGGGCTGGGAGCTCCCAGTTCCTCCAGTTGTCATTGTGCCACACCAGCACTGGGCACAGCCAGGTGCCATGCCAGCCCCAAACCCCACCACAGACCCCCAACTGCTCCCACCTTGTGCCGTGCCTCAGTTTCCCCCGCGACCTCGCTTTCCTCCTGCTTATCTTGGGTCACAGGGGGTAACAAAGGAGCTACCAGGGCTCTGCCTGTGCTGCTTAATTATCCAGATGAAATCAATTCAGCTCCATTATGGTCAAATCCAGGTCTCTACCATTACCAAGGCGGCTGGAGAGCCTGAGGAAGGATGATGGAGTGGATGCTACAGGGTATGTGATAACCCCCTGGTTCCGATGACAGGACACAGGGAAGGGGGGATGTCACTCTTTTGGGGGGATGGGTGTTGGCTTTGTGCTGGAAAATCCCATCTTTCACCTGGAGCCCTCGGCAAGGAGACTCCCCAGGCCAGGGTGTGGCACAGGAATCCCTGGAGTGCTGCCCAG